TCAGAATACCCACAAGAGGCTATATTGTGTACACATATCAGTCGACACAAGAGGTTGATGGTGCGAATTTTGGGGCAGTATTAACATCACTACGCGGCTCCTATTCTTCTCGAAGGGTGTTATCAACGATTAGCGCTAATATTTTCCTATAAGTACTAAGGCGACAGTAAGAGTCTAGGATTTAGGCCTTAATAATGGAAGCATGGATCCCCACAACTGGATGCATTTTGAAATCTGTGTTATGTGCTTTGTCGATGCAGCCTGCAGATTTGGTCTTAAATGCATTTTATCATAGTTGTTAAGAGTATGATATGTCAAATATTATGATGCATTTAATACATCATTTTCACGCATTCTAGTTTCGCCTTAAGCTTTCGGAAGACGGCAGCGGCAAAGGTGCAGGCGCCCTGGTTGCAGCTGTCAAACGCGCAATAGTGGAAGATTAGATTCGAAACATATTTTTTTATGAATAATCCCTTGCATTATTCATTTATTTCAACTTCCTTTTGAGACAATGATGAGACGCGTATTAGCATGCGTTCATTCTCTGTTGTGAATTCATTTTAAACATATATTTAATTTGAAAGACTTCAGCACTCATAGTCCTTTAAGGCTTGCATGCCCAGTTAGTGACGAGTGGTACGATGTTTTAATAGATTTTTACTTAAAGCTGTAAAGTGTTCTGGTCTGTGGGCTGTAATACCAGATCCACTGGACCTAGAGCACCAAGCTGATGCCGTGCCTACCTGAGCATCGTACCTGCTTTGGATCTGAGGGAAGCCTTAAAGGAAATTTAAGCACTCCCACTTCAAGCTCGGTTTATTATGCATTTAAATGAGTCATGGACGAATACAACCTTTAAGCATTTCAGACGCCGCTTTGTAGCTCCCCAAAACATTCCCTGAGGCAGAAGAAAGTATGAGTTGGGTTGAATACGTGAAACCTGGAGGGAGAAGAGGGGATTTGGCTTTGGTTTGGCTCAAAGGCCGGCCCGTAAGTGTAAGAGTCGGTCGAGGCTCTAGGAAATCGCCAGACATTCAAGTGATTTCATAAACAACGCATTACAGACTTTTCCAGGTTTTTATTGTATTATTCGACTTTTCGATTGTCAATGCAGTGTCCCGAATCATTTTGGGGGACACTGGAAGGTACGACGCTAGGTTTAATACACATATTTGCACAAAAAGAAAAGAGACGAGCCTATCGGCATAGCTCTAAGACCGAGATGCTTAAAAAAGTAATCCTCAATCGTGCAGGCAGCCGAAACAAATGATTTGCAGTTACTCTGATAATAAAGAAATTTTCGAGAAAAAAGGTACTCTTAGTCCTCTGACAAATTTGCTACTTTTAAAATCTTATTGTAAAAGAAATCGCTATGATGAAGCATGTTTTTTGCTTTACTGTACTTACATTCATCCATTCAGTAAAGCGGTTGATCGACGAAGTGAAGAGCATTTACATAAAACAGCCGGACCACCAATACATGAATCCAACCCCCATTTAAGCACCTTTCTTGATTGCAACGAATTTTCTTTTCTCAGCTAAACGTCTGGCGGTGTCCGAACATATTCAAAAGTTTTAGGTCTTGTCAAACTTTAAGGTAGTGTCATCCTAGTTTGCAAGATAAATTCAAGCCTCAGACTCACTTTGTTTTAATTTCTAAAACAAGATAATTTGTAAGCACTATATTCACAACCGAGGGGTAGCAAGTGAACAAATAAATAATAAATAAATAAATATTGAGCAAAGCACTGAATTACATAATTGTGGGCACGCATTGGAGGAGGCGAAGATAGGATTTTGGAGCCAGGGTGGATGATACAAGCCTCTGATTGAACGGATAGCCATTTAGATTTCCCGGCCATTTTCGACAACGGTCACCTTGTCACATTGGCTTTACCGAGAGGACCATGCAGCAGCCCTAGACAACTTCTATTTGCCAATAACATGCAATCTGTCTACTTGTTATGCCTTCCATGGCCTCCAAAGTAGCATTGAAAAGGCTATAATACGGAAGCAAATTACTTCTACATGACAGATGGTATAATGACAACCAATTTCTTTACTAATATCGTAAAAGACCAAGATAATAAATACGGGGAAGACTTGACAATACCGCCAATTTCAATGAGTTCCGATACAGTCATGGAGGCAAAAAAACAGGCATGATGTTACCATACAGTAGCGTATTTAAGAGGTGGGAGGACTTAAAATATCTAGGACACACATCAGATACATTAAAGTCAAATAATCCATATTAATTCAATAAAGCCTAACCGAATTTGCAAGCCGGGGGCAATATTATGTCAGAATACAAATGTTATGAAGAAACCGAAATAGTTCACTGATTATTACTAGCGTTCATAAATTTATAGCAAATATATGGCAGGAAAAACCGAAAATAATGCCTCAGTAAAGGCAAAAAACTAAATTACACCATCAAAACCTGTTCCCTACAAACTTTGGCATACAAAAAAAAGAAGAAAAAAGGAAAAGACTTGAACACCTAGTTGGAGCAGACGACAACACAGCCTCCGCTCTCACCGCCTCCACCACAACCGGCTCCACCACTGGCTTCATCGCCTCCGATGTCGCCACAGACTCACGCGCCTTCATCTCATCCAACTCATGCCTCAACGCTTCCACCTCACCCAACAACCGTCCACATTCCTCCACATTACGCGCCTTCTCCTCCTCCATATCGTGCAATCGTGCGCGCATCTCCTCCAACTCCTTCGCCTCCACCTCTACTTCACGCACTTTTTCACCAACCACCTGCTCCATCCTCTCTTCCAACGACCGCTGCTCACCCTCCCTCCTCTTCAACTCTTCACTCATCTCCTCACAACTCCTCGACAACACCTCCTTCTCCGCCTCACTGTCAGCCAAACTCTCCTCCAACTTGCTCACCTTCACACGCTCTCCATCCAACTCATCCTGAAGCTGCCTTTCGTGCAACTCTCTCTCCATCACCTTATTTCTCAATTCACCTTCTCTGGCACCCACCTCCTCCAACATCGACATCAACTCCGCCACTCGACCTTCACCACTGTTCACTCCTCGCATCAAACCCTCCAACTGACACAGTAACCGCGTCGACACCTCCGTCATGCTTCCCTCCAACTCACCACCACCTCTGCTTTAAGTATTAGATCATAATGCATATACCGTCATGATGGGACTTTGGCTTTTTGCGGGGTAACTTAACATAATGCAACACACTTTCTACTTAAGCAATATTGAGCAACTTTCTGTAGTCATTCCGATAGTTAATTAATTTTGTGATGGATCAAATATCAATTTTGTTGCCCTAAGTCATATTCGTGGAATATTTATATAAGTAACAGCCTAACGGAATGAATTGTTTTATCAGGTGGGATCCTCTGACGGCCACACGCAAACATAATATTAGTAGATTGATCAATTCATTTACAACATTTCTTTGGTCTGCAAGATAGCTCGGACCTTAATAGCTGTCGTGTTATAGTTGAATGACATTTTTACGTGAAGCTGTAGGTTCCCGAGGCTTCCCATAGGGTGGAATAATGCATAATTTGGGTTGAATACGTGTATCTCGAAGACTACAGGGCAAATGGACCTGAGCGCGTCCCAAAGGCCGGCCCGCGCGTACAGGGTTCAGACAAATTCTGAAGTGACCACCAAACATCGGGTAGTCACATAAACAAAGCATTACAGCAGCAACAAAGGAACGGGCATGCGGAGATTTAATTTGGAACCTAAATAAGTTTTCTGCAGCTGGAATTATCCGAGCTGTTATAGTGACCGAGACTTCCCGCATGTAGTAGGTATAACGTTGGCGAAACATATATGTGTAATGCTTTGGGTATGTGACCACATGACCTTGGGCGGTCACTTATGATATTTCTGGCTCATGTACATATGGGCTGGCCTTCGGGGCATGCTCGGAATCATTTGCTTTGTCCTATTTGGAATACATATACCCAGCCTCATTTATTGCCTTCTTCTACCGGGTAGGATGTCTCGAGATGCTACAATGTATCCTAAGATCTAAGCATGGCCTGAAGGCTAGCTTAAGCGTAAAGGAGCAAAACCAACTTCTGGCAGTAGCTTACCACGTTTTTGTTCTCATAAACTCCGCTTCGAATTTCGAAATTGTTTTGAAATTTTGTTTAGCTATTCTTTTACGTATAGTGCACACTGTTATTATAAAGCTTTTGCCGCCAATTAACGAATACTTTACCGAAATTATATCATCATGTCAATCCTAATTTAAACATGAATTTAAGCAAGTTAAATGCATAACTTCTTGCTTGTCAAAAAGTCTTTTTGAGTGCTTTAAACTTTGTTTTGGTTTCTCTTTTATTGTCAAATAAGGTTATTATTGTTTGATCATACTATGTCGTAAGCGTTTTTACAGAGTAACCCAAGCGCGTCAGTCATATTGTCTTAGTTGCTGTGCTGGACGTGTAGATAGTATTACCATTTCCTTTATTGACTGCTTAAATGGTGTGTTTCTTGTATCTTTAAGTGTATATTGTGTAGAACGATTCAAATAGTAGCGCCTCTGGGCGAAATAACCTTATTTCTCCCAGGCGTCAGACGCGCTCTTTGACGCGGTTTGGCCATCGGAATAGTGCAAACGAAGCAGAATTTCGGACCTTGACGAGCTCAGATGGTCATAACATCAGAGGACATTCTGTATCGGCTTTACGTCCTGGTACACTTTCAACTGGTGTGGATTTGCATGAACATTTATTTTCCACTCGGAGGAACAGACAGCATCAGCAAAGGGATCATAATTCGGATCCACAGTTGAGGGCCTTATTATCTCGAAAGAAGAACTCTGACGAAAGATTCATGCAAACTTTGTGTCCAGAGGTGAGCATTTTCTTCTAATATGTCAACCGCGAAGGTAATTTTACTTTATTTCCATGGGTACTACAGGACTATTTTGTTGTGAAATCCAACGAGTTTTAGTTTTTGCTAGTGTGCAACCTCATGTCAGGATTGGCTTCCTTTATTTCGCTGGTTATTTTCTTATATAATTCTTACTAGCTGGTCGTTTGAACACTTATATCACCTACTCTTGATTATTCGCTGATGGTTTGAATGAGATCCCTAATTGTTGTTCATTTGGCTGTAGGCCAGTAATTTGATTGAACAAATTCGAGATATCAAACGACGTCTTTCCGAAGCGACGGCTGAACTTAGTCCTACTGCCCGTCCGTTAGCAACGCGGGATGTTTTGACTGCGGTGAGTTTGGGTCGGTACGAAGCAGCTCAACATTTAGCATCTTCAGCCCGATCAGTTCCAAGTAAAGGCGAAGAATGCGCCTACAGTCGATGTCACTGCTGTGGTGGAGTCCTCGGCTTCTTAGCCTATCTTATTTCGACGAATTCCTCTTTCGAACAACCCCGATGGCGTGAACTAAGGAAGATATTACGCGATCAGCGTCCTGTTGAACCCAACTTTTGCTGTCCCGATGTTGAAAATGCACTGAAGGAACTAGTTTCAGTTTCTTGCACATTGGCGGTTTCAACAGTTCCTTTAGACGAGATGCAGGAAATGGAGCGACGTTTGCAAGTTGTCGATGCGGAAGTGGTGAATTTGCAGAATCAAATGAGAAATCTGCAGAAGCTACTGGATGATGTCCATAGTGAGTCAAATTGGCGTCAGAGTGCTATCTCGGAGGAGTTAAATGCAAACAGTACAAAAACTTCATCAATTGTCGCATGGTTAGATCTGGCGACCTCAAGTCCCATCTCTGACACTGAGTCAGAATTCAAGCGTCCCACTAACAACTCATCCAGGCAGGCTAACGAACAAGAGCTGGATTTGAGAGCGAAGATTATTGCCCTTATTGCAGACAAGGAGGCAGAATTAAGTGAACTACGACGCGGTGCTGTTAAGTGGGCTTCGAAGCACACGCTCATTCTCAATAAACAAGCGGAAATCAAGGAGTTGAATGGTGTTCTTTCCAATGAACTTGCGCAGGTTTCCAAAAATGATGCTGTAACTGGTCCGCCTAAACTTCCGATTCCCAGCATTGGAGATCTACTTGATCATATTCGGTCTATTCGTAATGATCTAGCGGTCCTTATTCATGCTTTCGAACAATCGGATGCTCAACAAGTCCTACCTATCTTAGTATCTCTTTCAGACACACTAACGAAAGCATTTGCTCTTATTCGGCCTTTTGCCGGGACAACTGAAAAATCAACTATTTCCACTAATCTCGATGATGCATCTGAGAAAACGGCAGCACATATAGATTACCCACGCTACCAGCAGCTAGAAGTTGGCGGTACAGACTATGGTCAGAAAGAACCCCTAATGGTACGGGTAAGACAGCCAATGAGAACCTCAAGATCAGGAAACATCGCAGTGGAAGGGAACGAAGACCTTCAAGTAATTGATGAATTTCTTCCCGCATCCCTTCCTTCATCAATGCCTTGCAACGCTTCCCCAACACAGGTTTTGGATAACCAGGATCAAAATATTGGCCACTGGAGTGGTGAATTTAGGGATAGAAATGCAGAGATTGAATACCTGAGGCTAGTCGTGGCTTCTTTGAAGCAAGAGGCGATTAATAACAAAGAAGCCCTTCAACTTCTATGCGAATCTAGACTTGCCTTATTAGAACGAGTAGGTTCATTGACTGGTGGTGATGAGTGTAAGGATGGCTTCACCGATTTCGTGTCGAAGCTCCGTCAGCTAAATATTCCTGATGACCACTTGAAGACTTTGAAAGAGTGTGATGATCTTCTTACCCAACGTCTAATGGACTGGTCACGCAAGTGTCAAGAGGATGGCAAAGCAGCTCTAAAACAGAAAGAAGTAGAAATGAAACACTTGTTATCTAGACTTCAGGAAGAAGAAGCCCTACTAAAGAGCCATGTGGATGAGGGCAACGAATTACGTGCTCAAGTGAATCTGCTCCAACATCCCTTCATCTCCAAATCTCACAGTCCTCAGGATGAATCGACAGAATCAATACCACTTCTCCATACATTTGAGGAGTCGATTCAACTTCCTCAAGCGGCCCCACCCACGAGAATGTCATCCACCGATTTGAATGAATTTGGACCATTCAAAAGTGTTGTCGGAGAACTGATACAGACTTCTCATGAAGGTCTCCTTCAGTCAAAAATAGATGATCAGGTTGCCATGATTTCCCTACTTGAAGCTCGTCTTTGTGCACAAAATGAGGAGTTCAGAGCAAAACAGGCAGAGGCTAATGAAAAAGCTAGCCAATTTAACACTATTCAACGCGCATACGAAACCGACATTCAACAACTTAAGACTGTGCTTCGGCAGAAGACTGACGAGGTCTCTCAGTTTCAAAAAATGCTTTCTCTATCGGAGCAGAAAATTTTGGATTTAACTGATCAAATAAAAGAACTGAAGGGCGACAGTGAGCTTTTGAAAGCGGAGCTAAAGATTGCACAGGAAGAGTCGGTGATGAGAAGTCTTGACATTGAGAATCTTCAGGGTGCATTGAATGAGAAAGCTGATAAATTGAGCGACACTCGGGAGATTGTGGCTGGCCATGAGGCACAAATGCGAAATTTGCGTTTTGTGCTTAATAACAAAGATGCTGACTTAAGAGATAGGGATCGGCAAATCGAAGCACTCTTAAATAAGATGGCACTAAGAGAGATGGAGTCTGAGGAGATCAAAAAAGACTTTGCCCAGCTAAATGCCACATTTGAAAATCTTTGGAAGAGCACATTGTTGATAGACGACTCTGTTGAGGGCGGTGAAAGACTACCAACCGTTAGAAATGAGCAAATGCATGTGCTCAAATCTTCTGCAGCAGTTGATCAATTCCTTGCCCTTTTGCTGTCCAAGGAGCCCGAAACAGTCGTTTTTGATGTGCAAAAAAGTGTTAAAGCATATAAGTCTTTCCGCGAGAATGTAAGGAAAGAAAGACACGAGGTGAATGTGCTCTCAACTGTTGTTGGAGTCGGTCCCGAGCTACCTTGGAATCCTTGTTGCGTGACTGCTGTTTCCGCTATTGCAGCTACCAAAGGCGATGCCAAGATATTCAATTTACTCAGAGATCTGGCGTATTCGGAATCATGTCGGGTTCGCTTGGCAAACCTTTTGTCAAATGTGGAATCCCAAAGAGATCAATTACAAAGTATGTTGTCAGCCTTGCAAGCTGAGGTTGAAACTAATCACATTCAATTAGCTGAAAGGAATCGGCAGCTAATTCTCTTAGGTATCGATCCAACTACTGCAACGGTTCCTTTAGCTGCGAACCGGGCATCGCCATCACATGGAAACATGACAGTTTGCTACGTTGATACGGAAGATAACACAAAATCTGCAGAGGCGTTACCAATAATGCAGACAAAAACAGAAGCTACGAGTAATGCATCCGATTTTGAGAAACAAGAGCAGACAATAACGACAGGAAACGCGATAAACATCACAAATACAAAAAGGGACAAGGAAAGGAAAGAAGGCCCAAAGGAATCCATTCCAAACATACAAAAATCACGTCAAGGAACAACAAGGGTCCAATCAAATACAATAGAAAACTCAACACAAACCGAAATAAAGGTGGAAAAAATACAGAATAAAACATTAACAACTACAAAAGAAGACAAAAACAACATAGAGACGAAAGACAAAATCATTACGAAAATGAAAGCATACGAAGAAAAACCAAATCAAAGCGACAAAGAAGAACAGAAAAAGCTAAAAGAAATGGAAGAAATTATAATAGAAAACAAAGCAGAGAAAAACCGACTGCAACAACAACTATGTAAATTAAGAGAAAAACTGGAAACTATACAAAATAATATAAGAAAGGAAAAATTGGACGAAATAAAACACGAGGACAATTATAACGATGAGCAAGAGCTTGTAGCGAAATCAGAGGCGATGAAGCCGGTGGTGGAGCCGGTTGTGGTGGAGGCGGTGAGAGCGGAGGCTATGTTGTCGTCGGCGCCGCC